TCATCTGCAACGAGTACCACCGCCGCCCGCACTCAGCCATCGGCATGCCGCCCTACCGCAAATGGGAGCTCGGTATCTTTGGCGGGGCGGGAATCCAGGGAGTTGGCATGCCGCCTCGCCCGGCGGATCGCCAGACGGTGATGCTCGATTTTCTGCCGTCATTCTCTCGAACGATCCAGGCTGACGGGGTGTCCCTGGATGGCCTGAGCTATTACGCGGAGGCCTTGCGGCCATGGATTGGAGCCAACGACACGGAGACCGGCAAGGCCAGGAAGCACATCTTCCGGCGAGACCCGCGCGACGTCTCGACTATCTGGTTCTACGACCCCGAACTAAAGCAGTACTTCAAGGTGCCGTTGGCCGACCAGAGCGTCCCGCCCTTCAGTGTTTGGGAGCACCAGATCGCTAAAGATGCGCTGGCCAAGGCTGGTTTCGACCCGAGCGACCAGAAGGCGGTGTTCAAGTCGATTGGCGAGCGGAGAGCTATGGTCGACGAGAGCGCGGCGAAGACGAAGAAGGCCCGGAAAGAAGCGCAGCGACGGGCAGACCACCTCAAGGGCAAGACGCCCGCCGCCCCCGCTGGCTCCCATCAGCCGCCGGCGCCAGCCCCCGGGGCGGCGGTGCCAAGTGACCGGCCTCCGTCGTCACTGCTCTCGACGGTCATCGCCACGGACGACATCGCATGACAAGCCCGAGCACCTTCGAACACGTCCACCCCAGCTTCAGGGAGGTGATGCATGCTAGCGATGAGGCGCGCCTGGCTTTCCTGGACCAGCCCCGTTGGATTGGCTACGAGCGTGCGACGCTCGTCCTCGACACGCTCCAGGCGCTGATGAACAAGCCGCGGCAACCACGCATGCGCAACCTCTTGATCGTCGGTGACTCAAACAATGGCAAGACGACGCTGATCCACAGATTCACGGAACTGTGCGGCGAGGCCTACGTCGACGAGAACGGGGACTCGGTTAAGCCAGTGATCCTGGCCGAAGCGCCCCCATCCGCTGACGAGAAGGGTATGTACATCTCAATACTCGAGCGTTTCTGGGCGCCGTACCGCGCTACTTCCCCCGCAGCGGAACTCCGCTATCAGTGTGTCCACCTGCTGCGCAAGGCCAAGGTGCGCATCCTCATCATCGACGAGTTCCATTCGCTGCTGACAGGTTCCCCTATCAAGCAGCATGAAGTTATGAACGCGATCAAGCTGCTGTGCAACGAGGTGGGCATTCCCATCGTCGGCGTGGGGACGCGCGACGCGGTAAGGGTCTTGCACACCGACCCGCAGCATGCCAGCCGGTTCGACGTGCTGCCCTTGCCGTTGTGGGAGCTGTCGCCTGATTTCCAGAAGTTGCTTGCAGGCATCGAGAGGGTGCTGCCGTTGAAGAAGCCCTCCCTCCTGAGCAGCCCGGAGATGGCCACCACTATTCATGCAATCAGCGCTGGCAACCTTGGCGACACATACCGCCTGCTGAATGAATGTGCCAAGCAGTCCATCACCAGTGGCGGTGAACAGATCACCGACGAGGTGCTGCGCAAGATGAAGTGGCTCCGGCCCACGAGGGGCGTGCGAGAGATGGCACTATGAACGGAGCCTGGGTGGTCAAGGTGCCGCTACTCCGCGACGAGCTCTTCTCGACGTGGCTTGCGAGGGCAGCGCTCGCGCAAGGTTGTGACCCGATGGTCCTGACTGGTTCCATCTGGCCTGGTTGGCGGGCGTGGACGCGGGACTTGGATCGCGGACTGAGCGACGAGCACTTGGACTTATTGGCAGCGAACTCCGGGCTAGAAAAGCATGCGCTTGAGGCCGCGACGCTCCGTCCTGTCGTGTGTGCCATCGCTCCTCGCGCTGCCGGGTCGAATTGCGCCTGGCCGTGGGTGATGGCTCTCGGCTCCCGCAACCGGCGCAGGTTTGGCGGCCTGCAATACTGTCCCGAGTGCCTTGGGGAAGACGAGTTACCGTACTTCAGGCGGGCGTGGCGTCTGGCGTGGCACGTAGGCTGCGAGAAGCATGGCTGCCTCTTAGGCGACCATTGCAGCCATTGCAAGGCACCGGTGGAACCCCATCTTTGCCGGGCCGTGGACCAGGTGCTGAGCCGCTGCCCAGGATGCGGCCATGACCTGCGCGAGGGACGGACTGTGGCAGCCTGCGCCGACGCGCTTGCCTTTCAGCGCGCTGCCGATTTGGTGCTGCAGGCCCGCGACGGCATTTGGGCCGGCACGCGTGTCGAAGCGGAGCGCTGGTTCGCTATGGCGAGCCGTCATGCTGGAGGCCGCATACGTCTCTTGCCAGGGGATGCGGCGCCAAGCGCACTAACTTCGTTGCCAACTGTCTTGCAGCGTCCGAGCGAACGGGTGTTGCGCCTGCAAATGGCGTACCGGGCGATGCAGGGAGGTCTGCAGGCTAGCGTTCTTGCCATGCGGTGTGTCGCGTCGTCGCGGAGCCGTTCCAGGGGCGCGCCGGGCAGGCCGCCCACGCCGAGGCCGCGAGCGACAGTCAACGGTGAATGGATCCGCCTCCTTCGCCGTCTAAGGCTTGGTCAGCCATGAGCGAGCCAAGCAGCAACGTTTGTGGCGCCTGCGGCGGGCACATGGTGAAGGCCCACCGCGTGGAGGCCGGCGTGAGGTACTGCCAATCGTGCTACTCCAAGGAGTTCAAGCGCTTGTTGTGCGGCGGATGTGGCATGTTCAAACGCCTCCTGGCATCGGCGGATAGCCCGCGCTGCCAGCCTTGTGTCGTGGCCCAGCCCTGTGTCCGTTGCCGGAAGACTGGTCGGCCAGTAGGCGTGATGACCCCGACTGGCCCAGCATGCAACGCCTGCCGGACCTATTTCGTTGCGCTTCAGCCCTGCGAGATATGTGGCACGACCTCCAGGCGTTTGTCGGCCCACGCAACCGAGGAAGGCCTGAAGAAGGCGTGTCCCCGTTGCGCAAGGGAGGGCCATCACACTTGTGTCGCTTGCCGCCGCCACAGGCCCTGCGTCCAGGATGGCGATGGCGCTTGGCGGTGCAAATCGTGCATCGAGCAAGGGCTAGTACCGTGCGGCGCATGCTTCCAGTCGATGCCGGCCGGCTATGGGAAGCGGTGCCAGGCTTGCTACTGGCGCGCCCGCTGCGAGCACCAGGCTTCACAGCTGGTGGAGCTAATGACTCGGCACAACGTCCGTAATGCTTTCCTGGAATTTGTGGCCTGGCTTCTCAAGGAGGAGCGCGGCATGCAGCGGCGGACGCGGCGGTTACGCGAGCAAGCTGAGTTCTTCGTCGCCCTAGACAGGCTTGACGATCAGCGGTGGACGGGACAATTTCTGCTTGAGCACTTTGGGACTGCGGCCTTGAGGCGGTATGAACTACCGGTGCGCTGGCTTAAGGAGTGTCGTGGTGCCGCGCTGTCAAATGAAGACAAGAGCCGCGAGGCAGACTTGAGACGGATACGCGAGGCCGTGGCATCACTTGCGCCGAATACGGTGGCCCGGAGGGTTGCTGAGGGGTTCGGCGCCAGGCTGCTGGAACGCTGCAAAGCCGAGAGCCTTTCAGCACGGTCAGCAAGGCTGGCGATGCGACCGGCTATTGCGTTGCTGCAAGAAGAGGATCCCTGTGGCGCAAGGCTGCCGGGGCAATCTGCGCTTGATAGGTATCTAGCGCGGGTGCCTGGGCAGCGCGCGGCAATCTCGACATTCCTGGGCCACCTCAATTCGCAGCATGACCTTGATCTGCGCTTGCCGCCGAAGCACGCGCCGGACTCTGCGGCCGCGCGACGGGGACTGGAGAAGCAGATCGCCGCGCTTGTCCTGCGACAGGGTCGACATGGCGACCTTCTTGGCCGCTGGGTTCCCCTAGCCCTGAGATATTTCCATCGCCTGTCTGCTAGCGAAGCCAAGGCGGTGGCGGCAGGCAGCGCAGTTGTCGAGGGCAACAACGCTGGACTCGAGGTTCACTGGGAAGGCCGGGTCTACTGGTTGCCCTCCCATCCATCAACTATGTAACTAGGAGCTCGCCCTCAGCCTTGAGGGCGCGGCTGCCGGA